TGTTCCTTTTTCTTTGCTCCTCATCTAATAAGAGCCTTCACAAGGATGCTTTGTAGAGTGAAGCACAGCCCTCTGCAGCTACTACTTACATAAAAAAGGAACATGTAAAAATTGTCAGAAAAATTATTATTTATATATGCTGGAGTCTCAAGTCCACATTGCTAGGCACAGGATGAGCAGCATCTGGTGTTGTAGTTCCCCTGTATAGTGGAGTGGTCAACAGAAGAGAACACAGAGCGCTGCTCATGGAATGGGTGATGACTCAGTGTCATTGATTGTTATTAGGTCAGAGCTGGAGCTGCTGCTATGCAGGTGAAAAGTCTGCTACTGTTCATGCGTTCTTGGCTGAAGGGCACCTGACAACTTTGTAGGCAGAGAATGGTGCACAGAGAGGAAAGATGGCGCCTGCCTTAGAATGGGAGAAGCATCACTGCTTTGTAAGAACAGGGTACTCAGAAAATGGGCCCAATCAGCCTTGTCCTATCGCTTTCACATAATACACTTTTAGTAAGTTGAATCTTAAGATTTCTCAGGCTTCAATTTTTTTCTTTTCATAGAAAGTAACACTTTAAGTATAATGAAATATTTAAAAAGAGATCTATATGAAAAATAAGTGCCAATTCTATTTGTCTGTCTTTCTTTTATATTTGTTAACTTTGTGAGAATTTCTTTTATCTTATTTAATATAAAGAGGATTTTAAAATATAGAAGAGATTACTGAAGATTTAGGTCTGAAAAATTGCAGTCATTGGTTGCTGTTTAATAAAAATATTTTTCCTGGAATTTACAGTGCTGGGGTAGTAAACAAATATGTTATTCAGCCTACTCTACATGAAAGGGTTAGCTGTGAGAGGAAATAATATCAACATCAGTGTTGGCATGTGGGTATGAAACAGCATAATGGCTTTAAATGCTTTCCTTGTATAACCCAACTGGTTCTTGGTGGAATCATCAAAGATATATTTCTGCTATATATGTGTGTGTGTGTGTAGACAGGGCTTCAGCAAATAAGGACCTGGTAAATGTGGAGTGATGGAATATAGAAATTGAATAGTCTTAGATAAATAATTCTGCCATCTAAGTGCTGATGGCCCCTATTCTTTGTAACAGCTCTCTCTACAGTAACTCCCTTGAAAATGTTCAAAAAGCTAGAAGAGAAGTCAAGCATTTTGCCTGGTACCATCCAGCCCTCCAAGCTTCACTTAATGACCAGCACAGTGCATGAGTTCAAAATACCTTTATGAACAATTTTCCTCTTTCTGTTTTTGTTGCAATAGTCAACAGATATTCCAAAATCTTTTGAGCCCCTGCCATGGGGACAGGCAGATTGCAATGGGAAGGGCAATGTTGGTTTTCTAGTGGGCTGCAGGGCTTTGGCTGCTATTGAATGGGAATATGTTGCCCATACACAAATGCCTCCATGACCATTCTGCACTGATGATCATGTATGAGCTGCATTCAGATTTGCCCCCATTCTAAAATGTTTTTATCTTAATTCAAAATGACAATGTAATGGTGTGGAAATGAAGAACAGGGGATGGAGATCTCCACCAGTTACAAAAAAAATTCTTCTTTTGTCTAGCCCCCATAATTGGCTGACTTATTTATTTATTTTTTTCATTATGCAGAGCTGGAATTTTAGCTATTCATTTTGAGGCACAAAGTGGAGCACAGTTATTGCAAAGCTAAAAATAAAAAATAAAAAAATAAGTGCTTTTCATAAAAATCAGGAGGGAAGTACATAAAAGTCAATATAATTGGCTTTTTGTTCTGAAATTCCCTTTTCCTTTCTCCTTAAACATTGTGGCTTTTTTCCATCTATAACTACCCATTCTCTATAAGTGCAAATCTGAAAACTATCAAGATGTGCTTTACTCCAGCAAAACTTTATTCTTAGATCTTCGGTTTGAATTTTGAGCAGTCCTATGTGAAGCCAGGATTCATAGTCAGTGGCCTTTCTGGGTTCTTTCCACTTCCAAATATTCTATTATTCTATAATCTTACACTAAAAGAAGTCTGAATCTGTGTGAAATGTCCATGGACAGATAGTTGATCTGTGAATCTCACATGTGCTAAAAATGGAATTAAATTCCTCCTGAGCTGATAGATCATTCTGATTCTTAGCAAGACAAGATTTTATTCTCGTACAAAAAAATATGATTTGGAGAGAGTTCAAAAGTAGTGTTACTGGTAATGGGAGGACTGAAATAATAGATTTGCAAGAGAAGATGAAAGAAAGCTCTATTATTATCATTCTGCCGAACTAAGTAACAGAAAAGCTGATTGATAATTGAAAATTGTCAGCCCCAAAATTGAGTATTTAAAATTACACAAGGAAAAAGAACTCAATGACTGAAGAACATTATTTAAAAAAAAAAAAAAAAAAGTAAAACTAAATGTATGGAATAGCAATAAAATCTGTTAGCCTGAGGGACAGTTACATAAAGAGAGCAATTGTAAGCACAATTTCAACTTAAATTTATTCCCTGGGTTTGTATTTTGTAGATTTGTAAACGAATAGGGCAAAAATTCTAAAAGGAGTGTATTTTATTGCATGAAGCAATCGTGTGTTGAGGGCTGATGATTGGGATGATGCCATCTGGCCCTTCAATCTCCCTTTCCTGCCTCCTGCGTATTAACCAAGACTCACTGTGATTTTATCAGTGAGAAATAATGTCTTTGCGGGACCCTGAACAGTATATTATTAGATCCGCTCTAAGGATATTATATATATATCACTTCATCACAGATGTTATTGACAGTAAGTGCTTTTACCACTTTTATATATTCTCACTGTGAGTTGTTTTACAGAAAAGCATCCAAATCAAGAGAATTCTTCCTGACCACCTGAGCAGCTGATAAGTTTCTTTACAACCACTTATGTGAATTCACTGCCACAGGGTGTTAAAAGGGTGAGGTAGGACCAAAGCATGATCTAACACAGCCTTCAAAAAAGAGCCCCAAAGGTTATTTCCTTTATGTAAAATCACTTGTCTACTTGAACGCCCGCTTTTATTTCTTTCTTTTTTGTGTGTGCTGTTTTTCGTTGGAAAGTTCATCTGATCCTTGTCGGGATCTATTTACACCATTTTGATCCTCTCTGCTTTTGCCTCCTCCTCTCCTCTCTTGCTGCCTGCACACCATGATTCTTTGGCCTTTCAGGACAAGTAATTATCCTTTGTAATGCTCCCCCAAAGCACTTTTTTTCTCAGTCACTCTATTTCTTAGCTAAGTAGTGTCTTTAGGAAGAATAAGTACAGAGTAAATACATTGGCACAGAATTGAGCTAGTAGATGCTTTGTAAATTGTGGTGCCTCAAGGATAAGAATGCAAGTTGTATTGTTAAGTGAGTTCATTTGTTTACTTTATTCCCTGGCTATTTAGATAGGCTTAGACTTAAACCTCCAGTGAGAGACAAAAAAGCATTTTTGACCATTTTCAGAGCATGCAAATAAAGTGTTCTGTCCTGCATTCATGTGTGTGTATGTATTTTGAAAATAATTCTTAACATCCTGCCAATCATCCAGAGCCCACAGATAATACAGCTCCCTTTCTGCTCCGGTATTTACATGTGTACCCCCACTACCATGTCTACAAATGCAAATAGGAAGTATTCCCTTTCCAGGCCTGCAGTGTCTAATTCAGATTGATTATGCATGAAAAAGAATGTGTCCCAAATGCAGTAGTTTCTTGTGCACTACATCTTGTGAGCAAGCAGCTAGTTTGGCTTGCTTCAGTAACTTTTATGTGTAAACAGTCTTTAAAAACATAATCTACACTGTTAAGGCCTAATCTAAATGATGTACTGACATTGCTTATCTTGATATGCTGACTTGGTTTTGAATTCTCTTTGGATTGCTTGGCCCCAGATGGCCTCCTTGTGTTTTGTTTACTTTTCACTTAGCTGTCACTTATTTCTTCCCATTCGATGTACTGAGTCAACAGGTTCAGCCTAGTTTTACAGTATAGCTGGCTAATATGGCATGGGGAAAACACTGAGTGAAGCCAAGCAGACGTGCAGGAGGAAAGCAAAGTAATTCTTCAGCTCTAATGTAGAGACCAGCAAAGCAGGAAACTGGTAAATGATCTGGAACAGCATATAGGGGGGTGGGCTTTCTAGAAAAAAACTGTTTTGACTGGAAAGTGAAAATTCATTGAAATAGGAAATGGTTTGTTTAGACAGCATGTCTGTTCTTGAAAGCTTTTTTCTGAATACATTCTAAAATTTTGTATACGTTCTGTATATTAGTTTATAAAAAAGATTTGTCTCAAATGTAGTGGTTATTAAAATATTATTTCAAAAGCTTAGAGAGATAAGGAGTTGTTTGGGATTTATCTTAAACAGAATGGCTTAAATGTTCTTGCTGTACAAAATTGTTTGAAGGTATGTAAAATCCTTTGTGTTGGCTCTAGCTGTGAGGGGAAAATAAAAACAGGAAAAAAAAAACTTAGTTGATGTTATCTTGCCCACAATCATGCACACAGTCCAAAAGACAAATGAGTGCTCATGCCATCTACAGCATCTTGAAACATGACTGAAATGTGTGCCGTCCTGAACTGTGTTTTTCCATCTGGATACCCACACGTACCCTCCCATACTTTGCCCAGTGCAAATACGTGTCTTCCCTCTAAGTGATTGTTTTAGTGGTTCAAAGGAAAATCTTGGTGTAAGATTTGGGGTGGAATGTGACACTGATGTAGGAAGCCTGATGTTTCCTATTGTTCATTGAGCAGAGAAAGTAAAAGTTTCCTGCATGGTATTATTTCATTGATAGTGTGTTGCTCTCTAATCACATTTCTTCCATTTTTGCTGAGCTGCTCAATCAAAGCACCACATGGTACCAGTCATGGTGCATTTTTTGTTTTGACAACTGTTGGGCACTCAAACATCAGTCTCTTTAAAGGGCAGACTGTTCCGAAGCTGCCACCGTTTTACAGTTCAGTGGCCTCCCTTTGGACTTGACAGCTCATCATCTAAGATCTTGCCCTGTTTATTGCAGGTGAAACATGGGAACTATGCCTTTGTATGGGATGCAGCAGTGCTGGAATATGTGGCTATCAATGATGGAGACTGCTCTTTTTACACGGTCGGGAACACTGTTGCAGACAGAGGATATGGAATTGCACTGCAGCATGGCAGCCCCTACCGAGATGTCTTCTCTCAAAGGTAAGGGCTTAGAGGAGAAACAGGTCCGAAGAGAAAGTCTTTCTGATCTACTGACCTATCTTTTAATTTCATTTTCTATGACAGGAAAGGATTTTGTCTTCGCTGCATAGACATTCACTTTTTCAGAGATACAGGATAGTTCACTTTCCTATAAACTTCTGTAAATATATTTCATGTTGCTTTTATTTGGGTTGTTCTTGTTTGTCTTGGTAAACATTAATGAGATAGGCTAAACTTCATCAGCTGGAAAATGAGAAAAAAGTTGATGCATTTGTTTTAGATGAACAATAATTCAGCTCTTCCTATTACAAAAGCCTTTTCTTAAGGAGATTAAGGTAAACTTGGGTGCTAATGAGAAAACTAAAAGGGATGAACAGATGTATCTGATATTTCAGTGGAAAGACCTGCATTAGAACCCAGAAGCTTAGATGCTGACCTCAATACTAATGAGTGTCTTGGGCTACAAAAAAAGAGATCTCTATACATATTGTGTTGCTACTAGATTCCAAAATACTAAATTAATTGTATGTATTGTGCCTTTGCAATGTTCATGCTTCATTCCACTATTGCTTCCTAAATCACAGAATGGTTTGGGTTGGAAAGGACCTTAAAGATAATCTATTTCCAACCCCCCTACTATAGGCAGGGACATGTCCCATAGACCTGGTTGCTCAAAGCTCCATCCAGCCTGGACCTGACTGCTTCCAGGGAGGAGGCATCCACAACCTCATTGGGAAACCTGTTCTAGTGTGTCACCACCCTCACAGTAAAGAATTTCCTGATTTCTAGTCTAAATCTATCCTCTTTCAGTTTAAAATACTTTCTCATCCTGTCTCTACCTGGCCTTCTAAAAAGTCCCTCCCCAGCTTGCCTGTAGGCCCCCTTCAGGCACCGGAAGGTCTTCATAAGGACCCCTAGAACCTTCTCTTCTTCATAGTTAAAGAGCCTCAACTCTCTCAGCCTGTCCTCATAGGGGAGGTGTTCCAGCTTTTTGATTGCCTTTGTGGCCCTCTGGACTTGCTCCCCCAGCTTCCGTGTCCTTGTGTTGGTGGCTCCAGAACTGGATGCACTATTAGGAGATATGTGAAATATAGAAAATGACCAGACTTTTTTTAGTAAAGTAATTTCTGTGCTCTCACTATGAGGAGAAGTTGTAGACTAATCTCATGATTGTTTTTCATTCTGGACCTATTCTTTTAACCCAGTTTCTATTGTATTAAATGCATGTAACAAAATTTTACAGTTGCTGTGATGGAATTAGTATGGTTGAACCCTTGTGTCATACTGATGAGATTCATTCAGGCTCTTGCCTTTGCCTTCAGTCTGCCTTCCATAGAACAGGAAAAGGTAATCAGTGTGTAACAGTATGAAGATTCGGAGAAATCAGTCTGCTCACACACGCTGCATGAACAGGGGAAGCTTAAATTCTTTAAGTCCTGTTCTGTTTTGGGAGTGATTTGGCTGATTTTTATTTTTTTTTGCTGACGTAGGAAGTCATATAATACAACAGATCACTGGATCAATGATAAGTTTAATTCAATGACATATGTATTTGCTTTATGTATTCTAATTAGCATTAAAGGCAATTATCTACTGAATACTTTAATATTCTGACCGTGACCAGGCTGAGTCTATTAAATGTCTGTTGTATTCAGGTTTTCCAGGCAAAACAAAGTAGCTAAATTTATGCCTGTAGTCTTCCAGCTGCTAGAGTTCTCAGGTGCTAGTCAAGGTATTTAGTCATATTCTTCAAAGGACCCATTTAATTTTCTGATTTACTGATAAATACAGTGAATTTGCCAAGCAGCATGGCTTGGCTCATACCCAGACAGCTGAGCTTTCCTTGTCCTCCTCACCATTGCTCTGCTAGTCAAGGTGGATATAACCAAACTGTCCCTTAGGAACGATTTCTGACATCATTTCTGCAGTGACTGTAGGCCTCAGTACACTGGGGAAATGGTCATTTTCTGATTCTGGTAAAAGATGATCTGCACTGCAGTACTCAACACCTGGACAGACTGGCTTACAGCTTCTGATGCCTTTAGGAACTTCTGGATCATTAGTCTGTGCAGGCATGACATTTCCAAGTATAATTTTATTTCATAACAAAATTTCACTGTATTATATTTTGAAGATGTTGGAAAGCAGAAAGAAGCATAAAAATTTGCACATATATAACTCTTTTTATCCAGGGATCTTTGAAGCAATATTTAAATGTTACCATCTCTCAATGGAAAGTAAATGCTATTTCCATTTAATTCTTATGAAATATATGACATAAGGGGACTGAAATGAATTCCCAAGGTTGGATGATTTTCCCTGGTGGAATTGGGGATCATAGATGCTCTGACTTCCTCATTTTCGGATTCCTGCAATAGTTATGAGAGTTCAGGTGGTTGAAGAAAGGGATAACTTGTGAGATTTCTGGCCACCAGAGGGCCTGGATAGATACGCAAAACTCAACACTGCTGAGAAAATAACTCATTGCATTATCAAGACCAATGGCTGAACAGAGAAATTGGAATTTGCTTGGAGTTAAACTGCCTACTGGAGAATTTAGAGAGCCTGAGATGTATGCCCTGCAAATGTCTGTGCTGCCTTTATATTTTTATTTCTGTATTATAAGAGCTTATTATATTGCATTTCTAATTATGTGCATAAATATAAATTTACAGTTTGAATCTGTGAAACACTATATGAGAAACAAACACAGGGAAGAGAAAGCATGCTTACAAGGTAGCTTACAAGGGTAGTTGTTTTCTGAAACCTCTTCATTACTGTTCCTTATGATTACTTCCATGTGGTTTTCACAAATCATCCTTGCTTTTCTTCCTAATGAAAAGGCTGAACAACCTCCAGCGGATGCAGACTGCATGCTAAATAGAAAGGGAAATAGATTTCACTAGGTGGGATTAGCAAATGTTCACATGAATATTTCACATTCTTTAATGCAGTAGGGAACTGGTTTGAAATATATTGGCATTTCTCAATCCTTCCCCAAATAAATATATTTATGTGAAAATGCAGGGCTTCTCTTTTATGAAATTTCATATGAACCCATAAGCTGCATACAGTTAAATCCCTAGGGTGTAGCTGTAGATGGTCTAGCAAGATTACAGGAGATTTTGATCTCAAAGCAGGAAGCATGAGCATGAGTTTAAGGCTTTTAAATACCTTTTTTGAACATTCAGGCCATTCCTGGAGAAACAGGAAAAGAGATAGAGATGTGTTAATACTCTCCACTTCTCTCACAGGCTGCAGGGCATGAGTTGCTGTCATGATAGCACTGTGGTAAGGCTTAGACGTCTGGGATTTCCAAACATATGATATGTTTGGGATGTCTGCTATGTCATTCTCTGGGGGACTGACAGATGCAAGCATAGAGGCTGCAGTGCCTGGAGCATGGTGATGACAGTATGCTTGTGTTTGTAATTTTACAGGTGTAAAGCCTCTAACCTTCAGAGAGAGGGAGTGCTGCCACATATTTGAATTAATGGAACTTAAACACAGAATTTTAACTACAAATGCGAGCTTGATGAAAATCTGTACAGGGGTATTCCCTCTATCCTGAACGAAATCTAACATTTTAGGGGAGAACTAACCATTTCCTATGAGTAGAGTTATGTCATTCAAGATGCAGTATGAGTATACTTTCAAAAAGCCTTTTTGTGGGTATGGCTTAGTATAACAAAAAGGTGGCTGCCTGAAAGCACTGCAAGGAAACTGATCTTTCAGACCTTTCTTTTCCGTGTGCAGAAGGTCTCTTCTAGGCCATAACTACAATGTGAGTCACAGCAAGCAGTCTGACTGCAGAGTGAAGCTGCCTTTTTAATATCTTGGGATGGGGAGATGGCCCTCCGGGGTCCCATGCAGTTGCTGTGACCCTTCTACCTATTTCTGCCTCTGAAAACAGATTCTTCAAGTTCAACCAAAGAACAGTGTGTGGCTGTAGCACTAGTACTGTAGAAAATGCTGTAGGTAACATCTGAGTGAGGGACTTGAGCATTCTGATGACTTCATTCATGTGTCAGAAATCTTAACAACTGCACCTGGCCGTACTGTTAGGCAGCCAGTTGATGTCTGTGAGTAGACTGTTGTCCCCTTGTCTTTGTCACTAAGGCTTCACCTTATGAACACCAGCAGCTTTCATGCAGCATGTCAGCTTTCTCTGTCTCTATTTTTCTTACAAAGTAATGACAGGGGCTTTAATAATACGAACTGTCAAATTCTTTTGGAGACTTTGAAGAGGATGTGTCATTTGGTTTGTGAGGAACAGTGTGCTGACACTAAATTTGACACCGGTTAAGTCTTTTCAGTCCAAAGCTCTAAAAATTCCACTGACCCCTGGGAGGCATAAATATAATTGCAAGATCTTTCAGAGCAGTTCACAGCATGTCCCATGCTGCCTGCAGTGCAGCTGCAATAGTTCAGGCGTGGTGCTGGGGGCTGGCTTTTGGAGGGGTTGAGGAGGAGGCGATGGGGAAGCAATCAGATCCTGTTCCTGTTCCCCTTCCTCTGCTGGAGAATGCTCTTGTTCTGCTGTCCTGGCAAGCATATTATGAGAAGAGGGAACACTAATTTCACACTCATAGGAAGCCAGCCTCTCACTTAAGTAACTCACAGCTGTCAAGACCCAGTACCACTGTAAAACTAAGCCAGAGTTGAGCTACACTTCTTATATTCCTAGAGCATCCGTGTTCTGCCTCAATGACTTCACTTTTATTTAAAAGGAAAAAGTGACAATAGGAGGGGCTGGAGGGAGAAAGCAAAATTGCCCACAGAGCCAGTAATGTGGCACTCAGCTCATTGTTGGTCAGCTGTTTCCCCAACCAACGTTGACCCTGGCTGAGTTCCCAGACACCTTAAGTTGTCTTTGTGCCCAAAGGAGGAGCAGCAGTCACACACGTCCTGATATTAATTTATTAGGGGTGGGGTATGCAATGGCACATTGCATGACAAGCACAGCCACCCCGTAGCTTCTGCAGAACCTGCAGATTTAATTTGGCATAAATCACAAAGAGTCACAAAGAATTTTTGTTTCAGCTAAAGAAATCAGACATTTCTTTCTGTCCAGGGGAAAAAGAAATGGAGATTTATAACAATTTCCCCACAACAAGCTCTAAGACACTTTGCTAGCAGCAAGCTGTTGCATTTTCAGGTGTCCAAAACTTTGGGGACAAGGAGGAGAGCCACTGTGCACAGTTTGACTTCCCTTTCACAAATCATTAGGGATTTGCTTTAAATAAAATAGTATGGATTTTTTTTTTCTTGTCCTTTTCTATCTCATCAGCAAAACTCTGAGATTTAGAAAGTTCCTGCCCTGAGTCATAAATATGTGTTCATCCTGCCTCCTTGCTATTAATTTTCCCTGTTCAGGTTTTCATTCTGTGTCTTGGAGGTCACTGATGTCCAAAGACTGCAGTGCAGGGAAAATTGCTTCCTTCCCAAGTACCTTCATTTCTTTTTTTGAGACCTTGGGACTATGTACTCCTTTCTTTAAGGAAACTGCTCCCCCATTTATATTTTCAATGAAAATCCAAGTGAATGTCTCTTACTTTCTCATTTATCCTTTTGCCAGACAGGGGGAAATTAACCCTCCTAACCTTCCAGAAGGCTGGCCAGAATGATCTAAGTGGATTTTCCATAGTTAAATACAAAGATCATCTGAAGAATAGTAGATGGCTGAGTAAAAGCTCAGGTTTGCTTTGTCTGCATTATTTGCTTAGAATGTAATGCTGTCCTGTGCTGGACTTTGAAAACTACAGTAGAGAAGCTAGTAAAAGCCCTCTCTCCACTTTTATTCTTGTAAAAAACTGGGAGAATTATTGGAGTTGAAGCAAACTCTGTATTTGAATGGAAATATTTAGTTCTTTGAGCCAGATCTTAGATCACGTTCATGGTCTAGAATAAGTTCATGTAGACAAGTTCATGTAACTGAAGTTACAATGGAGGAAAAAATGAAAGTTTGTTCCAGATGTCAGAGAAATTTGACATGAGAATCCAATATTAATTAACTCATATATTGTCACTGTTAAGGAAAGAGTTAAATTCAAGGTCGGACATAGTAACAGGATAGTTCTGATGATA